TATCAGTCAGTAATCAGGAAATCAGACTTGCCCCAGGCAACCTGCTGGAGACACTCCCTCAGTTGAGGCTCCTCTTCCCAGATCATGTATGTTTGTGTCAGGCTGACAGGGAACATCCAGGGCATGAGTGAGGTGGGAGCTGCATTAGGGCCTTTTAATATTAAAAGCTTGGTTTTATATCTGACTTCTCTCTCTTAAATGCTTCCCTGTATTTTCTCATTTTATCTTTATAAAACCTCTGAAATAGGTACAATCGACAAGTGTGAACACGAAGAAACCCAAGAAATGTAGTTTTCTGAGGTTGTAGTATTCTACACCTACCCTGAGCACCCTGCATCATCACAAGCTAACGTTTCTAGAGGTTTTCTTCCTCAGAGTTCTCTCAGCATGTACTTCCTCCAGGGTTCTCTGAGTGACACACTCACACCCGTGCTGGGCAGGTTCTGTTGGAAGACGAGTCCAGGGACCATACGACAAAGTTCCCAAATGCAGTTCTGAGGGAGGAGTTTGTATCACCAACCTTCCTCCACGTTATTCACTGAGGCACAGCCTTGAGGAGGCGAGGCAGATGGTGTTTACAGGAGCGACCCTGCGGTGAGGCGGCCTGTGTGGGGAGTGCCCCTCGCAGCCTCAGTGCAGTGGTGAGGACGATGCTGCCTGTGCAGACGGGCACGGGACCTAGCGTGTCTGCCCAGCGAGCACAGAGTCCAGCCTGGGACGCATGAGACCCCGTCTCAGAACCAAACAAACAGGCTTATTGATGGACCAAAGTGAATTAATGCACGTGAAATACCTGCCGGGTAGGATTAGCTGTTCCATCACCGGTCCTGGGTGCATCTGTTAAGTTGATTGAAACAAAAATCAGAACAGATTGCTGTAATTCTGAAGTCACAGCCAGCTACATGAAATCATTCCCATCCATGATTTTTCGGATACTATTTCATATCACGGTCACATACAGCAGGAGTTTAGGAACTGTGTGGAGTTGGCATAGCTTCCTGTAATGTTGAGATGTAGACACCTTGAGGTCCACATCCTTCGATTGTTGCTGTGACTGTAAGTACCCATTGGGAGTTTGAGTCCCTGAGCTCAGGACATGCCTGAGGAGAGCTGTCATTACTGCTTTTCCCTCCTGTGGGTGTGCTGCCAGTGGGAGAGCAGTGTCTGGTGAGTGAGCGTCCGTGAAATGGAAATCTCAGTGCAAACGGAGAGGAATGTTCTAGGCTCATCACTTACTGGTGAAAAAAGCTTCCTGATAGGAAAAGTACACACGACGTTACATAAATGTGAGAATGAAGTTAATGTCTTTAACGTTTTTCCTTAAGGACCAGAGTAATGCGGAGCAGCACGCAGATGGGATGATAGTAAGTCTAACGGGGCTTCATCCTTTCACTCTTGGAGAGCCTTCTAACCATCGTGTCAGGAGAAGCCTGCGTCTCTGTTCACTTTTCAACGCGAGCTCCTCTCTTCACCTACTCACTGCTCTTTTGTTTGTAACTCTTGTGATTTTCCTTGAGCTCCTAAAGTTGGCCATCTTTCAACAGTCATTTGGAGGGGAAGTGACAGTCTTATGATTTTTCTAAGTGTTGGTTCTACGAATGAATCGCTTTGCATGTGTCAACCTGACGGGTTAATTAGCTTTCATGAGGTCACTCACTCAGTGCATTTCTCACCAAACATCTTCTTCTTGGAGGGAGGGCTGTGTACTATCGAAACATACCTTCATCTCTTAAAAATATGTTTGTTTGATTGTGTTCCCTGTTTAGACTTTGTGTTTGTTCTCTTTGTCATTCTTACTGTGGTGCATAATGTTTTCTTGGTAGAACAGGTCATGTGGACTCTTTGACATAGTTATTCTTTCTTCCTCAGCTCTTTACTCTTCTCTTTGTAAAGAATAGAAATTCATGGCTAAATTTCTTAGCTGGAAATAAAAGCTTTCCAGTTTGAAGGCTGGGGAGCTGTTCAGTTGGTGAAAGCCTGCTGGGAAAGCGTGAGGACCAGAGTTTGGATCCACAGTGCCCACGTAAAAGCTAAGCGTGGTGCCAGGCCTCTGTAGCCATAGCTCTGGGGGAGGAGAGGGGGCTGTGGAGGCTGTCTCAGGGTGATAGAGGAAGGCAACCAATCTTGACCTCTGACCTTTATGCGCAGGTGTACACACTCATACACACTGACTACACATGCACACAGAAATGAGTTAAGATCTGTAGTTTTATGCTTTTAGTGACTATGGTTGACTATTCTTAAGCAGAACTGTGATGAAGCTCAGTTGAGTTTTTGCTAAGCATTTGTGAGGCCCTGGAATTGATTTTTTCCCCCAGCACCATGTCAACTAGGTGTAATTGTGACACCTGTAATCCTCGCACTCAGGAAGTAGAGGCAGGAGGGTCAGGAGTTCAAGGCCAGCCTCAGCTACGTAGGCAGTGTTTGGCCAGCCTGCACTGCAGGAGACTTTACCTCAAGGGAGAAGCAGAAACTGTTGTTAAAACAGGCAGCAGCCTCTTCACCCTGAAGCTCCTTGCCAGCTTGCCCAAGATCTGGGGACGACACGTTAGGACCTTGACAACCAGCTCAAGGAGCCCAGGAGGACTGAGCTTGTGGCTTTCCATCTGCTTTGAAATGGGAAACAAGTTCATTATCTATGGGCTTTTTAAATCTTTTTTTAGAGGGTTGAGAGATGGCTCATCAGTTAAGAGCATTGGCTGCTCTTCCACAGGACCTGGGTTCAATTCCCAGCACCCATGTGACAGCTCACAACTGTCTATAACTCCTGTTCCAGCAGAGCTGACTCCCTCACAAAGCACCAACGAACATTAAATTAAAATAAGTAAATAAAAATATTTTTAAAAAGCAGGAACATTTTTTAAATATTTTTTTAAAAAAGGAATGTATTTTTAAAAACCGACAAAAGGAATCGTTTTTTGACATAAGGATTGAATATACTGGGTTTTTCTTTCTGTGGGTGTAAACTGGTAACATGATACTCTGCAAGTGCATGGTGTAAATGCAGCGTGGTGTACTGTGTCTTTGCTAAGCCTTCTGGGGCAAGAGTGGTTCACGGTTTCCAAGAAACACACCTGTGCAGAACTCACAGTTCAGTTAGCCTAACCTCCCTTCCCCTCAAGACTAATTTATTGTGTATAAAAAGAGGCCGGGTTTTAGAAAGCATATCACGCCTGTTTGATCCTTTCCAATTAAGAACGTTTGGGGATGGGCTTCCTACGGAGAAAATTTAAACTTGTAGAAAACAGTTTTGAGTGACTACCTCTGAAACCGTAGTCCTTTTGCAGGAAAGTTTTTAAGTTGAGAACGGGTGATAGAGGCCGAGATGGAATGCCAGGGCTGTATGTTAGTCCAGCCACCCCCATCTGAGACTTTAGGCAGATCTAGTCAATCATTCTGTGCCTTAGTATTGTCATCTGTAACAAGACTGAGCTGGGCGTGGTGCCACATGCCTTTAATCCTAGCACTCAGAGAGGCAGAGGCAGGTAGATTTCTGTGAGTTTGTGGCCAGCCTGGTCTAAGCAAGTCCAGGACAGCCAGGATTGCACAGAGAAAGCCTGTCACAGAAGCCAGTAAACCCTCACGCTTCACTTGTGCATGTCTCGAGGGATAGGGAAGCCACAGCCATGCATGTTTTGCATGTTTTATTTACACACTGCTTTGGCATGGGTTCATTAGTGAACGTCCCAACAGAGTACAGCTCAGGATTACTTGCTGTATAAACATCCTGTTCAAAGGAAGTTGTAGAATGATTTTTTTTTTTTTTTGGCTGAAATTGACCAGTGACTTAAGATAAACATAGCCGTTTCTTTATTCCATCAAAACAAGGAGAGGTTGTATATTTTTAATATATATGCTATCAAAAAGACAAAGTTACAACAAACTTTATTATCTAATTCATTTACCTGTGGTTTATGGACTTTGGAGCCTCTAATTGATTTAAAAAGGATGCTTTACTGGACAGTGTCAGAAATAGTTTTATAAGATGACATGGAAACTGGGCAATAAAAGCAACACTGATACATTTCTCGTTTTCTTATGAACTAGATCAAAGCAGACTCAGGCAGACTTGAATTTCTTGTGATCAGGAGGAAGTGGCCTGTTTGGCATCTAACCTGTTTGCTTGCAACTGCAGTCTGATTGTGTGGTGTTGAGCCTGGCTGACTCCATTTGGGCTTGTTCTGCTGTTTTGAGGCCTAGTGCAAGGAGCTCAGTCCAAAACCCTGACTTATCCTGTTTTTTAAAAATCCAATTTGCTTTTATTTTTGTGGTACCAGGGATTGAACATAGGGCTTTACATACGCTAGGAAAGCTCCTTGCCGTGGAGCTGTGTTTCCCAGCCATCAATTCTACTTTTTTGTTTAGGGTAGGGTCTCATTCGGGTTGCATCTGAGCCCACTCTGTGGGCCGCTGTAGGCCTTGAGCTCTCCAAGGGGCTGGGGTTACAAGCCAGGGCCAGTGAGTTAGACTAAATTCACACACACACACACACACACACACACACAATGCAGAGAAGTTTAAAGGCTTTTGTAAAATATATATATATATATATTTTGGACAAGCCTAATATTAGAATGTTTCACCTAGAAGAAAGACTTTATCTAAAAGGTTGAATTCCAGTCCCTGATTCTAAAGTTCGTTATTTCTTAGATTTTTCAGTGGAAAGGATAATATGTTGTCATTCATGTGGATCAAAGTGTTAGTGAAGGGACTTTGCCTGTGTTTATTTTGGTGTTTCAGCTCTGGGATCTAGCCTTACACATGCTCGGGGCCTTCTACACGCTAGGCAAGTGTTCTGCCACCACAGGGAGCCCAGTCCTTTGTGAAGCACTTGAGTGAGACTCAGTGCTAGGGATTAGTTTATTCTCAGAACAGCTTCAAGGCTGCTTCCCTGGTTCTGAGGACTTATTCCAGATCTGAAACAGAATCATGAAGTAAGAATCAGAAAACCATTAGGCCTTCCCAATGCTGTGACCCTTAAATACGTTCTTCATGCTGTGGTGACCCCCACTATAAAACTATTTTTGTTGCTACTTCATAACTGTAATTTTGCTACTGTTATGAATCGTAATGTAAATGTTTTCTGGAGACAGACGTTTGCCAGGGGGGTTGCAGCCCACAGGTTGAGAACCGCTGCATTAGAGGCTGTCTCTCCAGGCTCTTGTTCTCCACTCAGTGGAGAAACCGCGGCCCAGAGAGGAGGAGAGGCATAAGGAGCTGAAGGAATTAGAAGTCCAGGTCTCTGTTTCAGCACACTCCGTACGTCACCGCACTAGACCCCTGGTTGTTAAGGGTTTTTTCATGCCGCCACCTGCAACTGTCCTTTGGTTTTTCAGTTACTGTCAGTGGTAACTAGTCCGAAAAATAATGTAGACATTAAATGACAATACTAAAAACAAATTCCTTTACCACGGCCTCAGTTTTTGTTGCTAAGTGTTTTTAAGGTTTTATGGATACATTTGGGGATCATGCAGTAGCAAATGTCTTGTTTAGGCAAACCATGCACATAGCAAACCTCTGTATTCACAGCATGAAGGGTGCAAGAAGATAGGAGTTCGAGGCCAGCCTGCTCTACATACTGAGTCCCAGGACAGCCTGGGCTACAGAGCCACATCCTGTCTCACAATCAGTCATTTCAATTAACTAATCAAATTAAACTCATCCAAACTCTTTAAAAACAAATTGAGTAAACTCTGGAGTTTTGGTTTAAACTGCATCATGCTGTCAGAGTAATTTCTTGATTTGGAATCAGAGCTATCTAGACTTTTGTCCTTACCCCAAAGTTTTCGATACATGTTTGAGCACCCTCCCCAAAAGGCCTCAAGGAAGGCTTCTTCACATCCCCTGTTCAGGGCAGCACACGTGGAGTGCATATCAGACGTCATGTGTAGGGTACCCCTGGTGGGGTGGGGGAGGTGAGTCGCAGCCACTGGTGAGGTACTGTGCCTTGGTAAGAGGCGGGAGCACTGAGCTGAAACGAGGGGTTTGCTGGCTTCTTGCCCTGCTTTGTTTGTGACAGTGTTTTCTCTCATCTCTTTCTTTGCTTTACTGGGAGAAACTTAACCTCTGTATAAAAAGGACAAATTTCCCTTTGACCAGCTTTCCTATATACTATCCTGTGGAGTTTGCTTTAGAAATGTGGCATTTTACTTGTTCGGGAGGGTCAGCATGGAAAGGACATTTGACTGAAAACGACTGCTGTGTTTCTTTTCTCAGAGTGCTATCAATCCTGTAGACGCAATATACCAGCCTGGTCCCTTGGAACCCGTGATCAGCACCATGCCTTCCCAGACTGTCCTACCTCCAGGTACAGTATTTGGAGCCATGCTCCACGGAGTGGTAGATGGGAAAACTTAGTTTGATAATTACAGCAATCCTAGATTTTCTATAATTTTGAAAATAATAGCAATTACAACATAATATAGCTGAAAATGAACTGGAAAAAGAAGCTGGTATCTTGGGTGGCGTTTTTAGTAGCTGGAAGGAGCTTTGGTCTCTGGGGTGGTGGAGAGCACAGCAGTGAAGGTGCAGGTTTGTCGGTAGGCCTGAACTGTGACTCAGAATTCAGAGCACAGGAAAACATAACACTTCTGGCCTAGTCATGTGTAACCCAGGAATATGTAAATGTGGGGTGTTCTTTAGAATTCTGAACAGCGAAATGTTTTACCACAGTGGACATTACTGACAAAGGGAATGCCTCTGACGTGTGTGATGCTACTAGGTTAGAGGACAGTAATAATATTTAAAGAAACAAAAATAACAAAAGCCAAAAGTAACAAAAATCAGACCTATAATTTCAGCACGTGGGCGGCTGAGGTAAGAGCATTTCTGAAGAGTTAAGGCTAGCCTGAGCTAAGTGAGCTCTTGTCTCAAAACTCCGTTCGTTGTACCACACATTTCTGTGTTCTCACAGTGACTAGTAAAGCCAGAGGTTGTGCTGTCTAGAGGGAAATCCCTGGTCAGGATACCACGTGACGTCTCTTCAGGAGTGAGCTTGCTTAGCGCTAGCGAGGGGCAGTGCACTCCGTTTCTGACCTTGAGTGGTCGGAGTTTCAGAAACAGTGCTGGTTTTACTTGTGCTGGGCATTGGGACGCTAAGAGGCTAGGGGCTCACAGAGAATTTGTGAATGAATTTGACTTACTGTAGAAAACTTCAGAGTGAAAAGTGTTGCATCCCAAACAATTGTTGAGTGTATGTTGGGCTGTTCCTCTAACTTATTTTACATATTCAAATCTAGAACCTGCTCAGTTGTGTAAGTCAGAGCAGCGTCCATCGTCCTTACCTGTGGGACCTGTGTTAGCTACCTTGGGACATCACCAGACTCCAACACCAAACAGCACAGGTACAGACGTGTAACCTTTACTGCTTGGGATTTCAGTAACGGGAGGTTTCTGTTTGGCTCTTAATGGGGAAAAGGATGGAGAAACATAGTAGCTGCTGACACCAGCAATAGCTTGGCTTTTAATTAGAGTTCCTTCTGGAGTAGCTTTGAGATTGAACCAAGAGTAGTAGTAACTATAATTCAGTTTTTAAGATATGGCATTTCCTGATTCAAAGCGATCTGGCAGTGTCGGAACACAAAGACTCGACTCCGGGAGGCCTTGTGATACTGCTGTTCATTTGCCCTCTGGGGTGCAGCTGTACTCACTTCTGTTAGAGCCTCAGTGAAGTCGTGTTTCTGTGACTCGCTTCTGGCAGGGATGACTCGAGCCCTCACGCCTGTGCTCTTGGGTCAGCAGCGATCTTTCATGGCTACCACTTCACCAGCTGGTGGCTAGGTGGTTCAGGGTTTTCACCCGTGACACGGGTTCTCTTTAGGAAACATCTCCCAGTCACATTCTTGTCAATTTTGTAGGATTAAATATGTCGTTTTAATTTTATTTACAGTTGTCTTTATCCTTTCTCTGAGGTGCAGGGCTATTCCCAAGTTAGATACTAGTTTTATTTTTTGTTTTAAAATAAAATTTGTATCATGTTACCTGTAGAACCAACTCAAGGAAATGCAGTTACAACCTTTGACCCTTTGACCTTTCATGAGGAGGTTTAAAAAGTATAAGTCCTGGTGAGCAGGTGGGACGTTGGCATCTCTCATCACTGTATAGACACTTCCTTGGTACAGTGTTTTCTGTCACCATAAATTATCCTGTGACTTTAGCCCGTATTAATTCTGGGACAGTGGGTGTTGCTGTACTCAGGTCTCATATTTAACAGCACGAATGCCTTCTAAGTTTTGAAAGAAAATTAGGAGTCAACAGAAGTTCCTTTACTTGGGAAGTGCTAGTAAGCGATTTCAGTAATGAGGTTAGGTTTTTTTGTTTTGTTTTTGCTTCTGTGTTTCATGGACTATGTCACATCTTAGCTTAAAAATAGAACCTGTAGCTGCTGTAGCCCAGGGCTATTCCAGCCCTTGGGAGGCTGGAGCAGGGGGATTGCTGCAAGTGTTGATCCGTATAGTGAGGTACAGGCCATACAGGCTAGCCAGGGCTACCGTAGCAAGAGGTTCTGCTTCACAAAAACCGAAGGGATACAAACAAACACCAACCTGTAAGCTTTGCTTATTTACTTTTGTTTCATATGATGTTCAGATTGTAAAGTGGCCAAAATTTCTCCACCTGGAAATACACAAAACTGGTTAGTAAGGGGGAGGAATATTTATTTCTTCTGTCAGATGATTTTAATACAAGTTCTTTTCAGACGATGAGGGTTATCTTCTGAGAGTTATTTCTGAAGAAGATAAAGTATCTTAACATTTTAGAGATGGATTTAAGGACATGAAAATAGCATATGATTTCTGTCTTGTTTTTGTCCTAACTTCCCTGTTTTCTCTATCTTCCTTCTTGAACATAGAAAAAAATTTCTTAGAAGTTAAGTTGGGCAGTGCTGTCACACTCCTTTAAGCTTAGCACTCGGGAGGCAGAGGCAGGCGGATCTCTGTGGGTTTGAAGCCAGCCTGCTCTAAAAAGTGAGTCCAGGACAGCCAGGGCTACACACAGAAACACTGTCTTGAAAAACTAGAGGGAGAGAGAGAGAGGAGAGAGAGAGAGAAACAAATAATAAGTTGTGTTGAAATCTTAACTTGGGCTAACAGTTTCTATTCAAATTCATTTTCTTATGTTTTCTCTTACATAGTTTCAAGCACATTTGCCTATTAATTGTTGTGATTTGTGGTCTGTTTTTCCTGTTCCAATAAAGAGTTTCTTTGGTCCCTTAGTTTTGCTATTGAGGAACAGGGAGAATTTAGTTGTTCAGTGAGATGACTTCCCTTTGGATTTCTACAGTAAGCTTTGCTTTAGGGAGTAAGCCATTTTGTCTAATAAGGGATCTTTGTAAATATGGTACAGCGGATAGCTAGTTGGTTTATTAACTGCAGCAAGACACGAGAGCAGGCTAGAAGCCCAGGGACAGATTTTCATTGCTTCTGTTACTGTCCGTGTTAACTGCTGTTTTTGATAGGGTGTCTCTGCATAGCCCTGGCTGGCTCCTGACTGGCTCTGTAGATTGGCCTTGAGTGGACAGAGGTTTGTTGCCTCTGCCTCCCGGTGCTAGGATCAAAGGTGTTGCTGGCCATAGCAGTAACTGAACTTGAGCCTCCACCAGGCCTCTGTAATAGACTAGTCACTCGGCCCCTGACAGCCTCCCTTAGCAAACCAGTCTCAATGGCGCTGCTTGCTCTTGCTCCGCTACTGAGCAGGGTGCCAAATAGTCAGATGGTTCAGAGAGTAGACAGTCTTTCCTCTGGCTCAGCAGTAGTTCTGGCCTCTTTAGTTAGATTCCGTTATTAGAAGGATGCTCTTGAAGTCCTCCTTTTGTGCGTGCTTCCCTTCGCAGCTGCTTTATCTCTGCTCCGAGCTGTAGGCCCCTGACTTAGGTGTAGGCAGAGGACTTGGGTGGTATGTTCCCCGGGCTTCATGGAAAGGTTTTATACCCTGTGAGTGACTTGAAGAGTGAATCTGAGTGCGGTACCCGAGCAGCGTCTAACAGCCTTGCAGCCTGGCATTTCCATTAGAGTTAGTATCTGAGTATAAAGAGCCCTGGCTCGCAGTGGGGCTGTTGGCTGTTGTCGATGCCAAACACCAGCACGTGTGCAATCAGAAGAGCACCCTTCCACTCCAGAACACAAGTTAATCTGCAATCACAGAGTGAGGTACAGAATTTTCTCCACGGCGTTAAAGGCTGTATATAGTCTGAGGCGTGTTGCTCAGTGGGAGAACATTTTTTCAGCATGGAATAAGTCTTAGTTACGTAGAGTAAATAAAGATAAAAGGCTGTGTCCCCATCCTGTGTCACGATTTGCCTTCTTTCCATCGTCTAACTTAATTGTTGATGAAATATAATAGTGTGCGAACTTTATCAGCTAACCCAGCGCAGCCTCGACTGTGGTGATTTGCGAGCTCTGCCTCCTTCGAGCCGTTTCCCTAACTGGCCCCTCTGCCTCTCAGGCAGCGGGAACTCGCCGCCCAGCAGCAGCCTCACGCCTCCCAGCCACGTCAACCTGTCTCCAAGCACGGTCCCCGAGTTCTCCTACTCCAGCAGTGAAGACGAGTTCTATGATGCCGACGAGTTCCACCAGAGCGGCTCCTCCCCACAGCGCTTGATCGAGTAAGTGTGGGAGACCAGTGCGCTCAGAGGGCTCCTGGGTTGGAAGATGTGGGCTGGAGGCTGCAGCTAGTGACAGACTTGCCTCTGAGAAAGGCCTGCTGAGCAAAGCTGGAGTGACAGCTGTGACGTGTACTCTGATTTAGTAATACAAACTGAACGGATAGGCTTTACGTAAGAGAAAAAACAGGCAAAGAACATGAATAAAGGACACATCAATAAATAACACGTATTTAACATGCAGAATAGGTGGTCAGCTCCTTAACTGTCCAGTGAGAGCCCATTGAGGTGGTATTCCTTAACCGTAGATAGACGGGAACTTAGACAGTGGATCCCGGCCCTGCCGGCAAGGAGTGCGCCCGTTGTGGTGGAGAGGGCCTGGGACAGATTGTGCGAAGGGTGAGGGGAGGCGTTGGCAAGACTGCACGTGTCGTCTCAGCCTGAGCGTTGACCCTGTGCATCTACACCTGTGAAATGTGTGCCCACTGCTGCCGGCTGCAGTGTGGTTTGTGCCACTTGAAACAGTCTGACGGAATTCCGGAGGCTACTGACGACTGACAATATGATTCCTAACATCAGTGGCCGTCCACACAGTGGGAGTCTCTGAAACCTTTTCAAAGTAGCCTGCTCTTCCCTGCGCACACCTTTAATCCCGGCGCAAGGAGGCAGATGCAGGTGGATCTCTAATTTCAGGCCAGCCTGGTCTCCTAGCAAGCATTCTAGCCAGGGCTGTATAACTCGACCCTGCCTCAAAGGGGGAAAGAAGCCGAATGTTCATCTACGGCAGCACCTCCACAGTGTAGCTAAGGGAAAGGTTGGGCGGAAGCTACGTCGACGTTACTGCCTTCTGTGGAGAGGGAAAAGGACATTTTTCTTATTTATACTTAAACACTGGGGAAAACACACAAGAGCCTAATAATTACCCAGTGGGGGAAGTAGATTGGATTTAGATGGCACTTTCTGACTATTCACAGTTCCGTTCTTGTTTTGTTTGGGGTTCCTTGTTACTGTCCGCTGCTGAAAATTGACCCTTGGGCTTTGTGGATGGGAAGCCTTTGCTTGACTACCGAGTCACACCTCAGCCCATGTGAACTATTACTAAGGACCACAAATGCACTGCAGGCAAAGGCAGAAAGCGCCAGCAGAGAACAGTTTTCCCCACGGCAGCGACAGGGTGGAGAGGCCGGGAGCCTCCAGATGTTCATGTCGGTCTTAAGACACAGGAGTGAGAAACCCTGCTTTGCTCGGGCCCCTCGGCTCATCACCTCTCTTGTGGGCTTGAGGGGCATCACTGATACAGTTGCAGACCACGCTCAGTCTCCCGAGCACAGCCCCTTCAGAGGCCTGGGTGTCCCTTTGGCCCGTCTCTCACCACGTACTCCTCCACGAGCAAGCACTCATCTCTTTTCTGTCACTGCACACTTCTTTCCTTTTAAAGAATGTTACAGCTGAGGTGGGCCGGGGCAGGAGGCACCAACAGCAACAAGAAGGGCGCTGTCCCAGTGGGCCAGACAGTGGCCGCTTTTGCTTCCTTTTACTTACTGTTTTACTTTGCAATTCCCTCATGTTATCCCTGGATTAATTATGGCTCTAGCTCATTCCTTTCATGGCTAGCATTATGCTGTTGTAGGGCTATGTCCTGTACCAGTTTGTTTATTGATAGGCTCAAGCCGTTGTTAGATTTTAGTTGTTACAAATAAAACTACTGTATTATAACATCTTTTGTGCCCCTACCCCCATGCCGAGGCACAGAGGGCAGGGTGCTTGATTTATTTGCAGGTGGTTTGGTGTGACTCGAGTGTAGGGCGTGCTGTTTGATTTGGTAAGCTTTTAGGAATTTCGAACATCTTACTGTGATGCTGGCAGCTGCTGGCCAGGTCTGTGCTTTAGGCGGATAGGCGCCGCAGTCTGTGTAGTGTTGGGGAGGGCTGGGCTTCAGGTCGAAAGAGGAGACCAGGCCTGGTGGCTGCCTGAGAAGCTCAGTGATGGCTCTTGGGATGGAGGGAGGTGCTGGACTTGCATACCGAGCAGGAAGGCAGACCCTGCTGATCGGGTTTCTTCGGTAGAAAACGCTTCACCTGATTTACCACAGTAGATAAAAGCTAGGTACGTAGTAGTGTTGTCCAGAAAAGACTGAAGCCAGCTGGGTGGTAGCTGGCGGGTAAAAGGTTTACCGGATCTCTGCACAGGCAGGTTGCTGTGGTTCATACCTCTGAGTTCTAGAATCTCAGATCCACTGAGTTCTCAGTCTGTTTTGTGGGGTGACCTTGGTGAACTTCCTTATCCTGCGCAGTCCTCAGTTTCCTCATTGGTAAAATGAGGGTAAGAATAAGTGCAGTGTGGAGGAGTCTCTGTGAGTATTTAAGCGAGCCGTAAGTCAGGCCATGCTGTGCATAAAGTGGCCGCGCTCACAGAAAACACTGTTCACCTTGTCACTTCTGCTTGCTAGAGACGTAGCTAGCTTTGGTTTGACTGGACATTTTTCCTGCTCTCTTGGAAGTTGGTACAGTGGACATAGCTTGGGTTTCGCCTTGTGTGGCAAGATACATTTGGGACTGATTATATGTGACCTGCAGGGTGTGCAGAAGCCCAGCCTTAGGCACTGAACGTTCTTTCAGTAAGAAATATGTGGCGCCAGGCAGTGGCCGCGCACACCTTTAACCCCAGCACTCCGGGGACAGAGGCAGGTGGATGTCTGTGAGTTCGAGGCCAGCCTGTTTTACAGAGTGAATTCCAGGACAGCCAGGGGCACACAGAGAAACCCTATCTTGAAAAGCCAGAATAAGGAGGAGGAGAAGAAAGAGGACAAGGAGTGCTTTTCCAGGCTTCTGCAGTCCTCCAGGCTGTGTACGCACGCCTGCAGCTTTGGAGCGAGGAGCTGCGGATGAGGGAACACGCAGTGTCTGTCTTTCTGGGCTACTTAACACAGTGTATTTGCTGGTTCCATCATTTGCCCGCAGGCTTCATGACTGCACTTTTCTTTCCCACCAAGTAGTAATCCACTGTGTGTAAGGACCACACTTTCATAATCCCTCGTCAGCTGAAGGACATTTAAGCTGTTTTCATTTTCTAGCTACTGTAAATAGAATAATGAACACAGCTGAGCAATGAGTGGGATCGCTGGCCTTCTACGGGGTGTGTGTGTGTGTGCGCATGCATGCATATACCTGGGTCGTATGGTCTGTTTTCAGCTTTTTGAGAATTCTCCACACTGATTTTTCAAAGTGACTACACTTTATGTTCCCACTAACACTAAATGAAATTTCCCCTTACCCATATCCTCTCCAGCATTTGTTGTTATTTGTTTTCTTGATCTTAGCCATTCTGACCATGGTAAGGTGAAATTGCAAAGTAATTTTTATTTGCCTTTCCCTAATTGCTAAGAACGTTGAATACTTTTTGAGATATTTCTTAGCCATTGTTTGTTCATTCATTCATGAGTGAATGAATGAAACTCACTGTTCAGATCCATAGCCCTTTTTTTAATCAGGTCATTTGTTTTTGACTGTCTAATTTTTTAGTTCTTTGTAGATTCTATATGTTAATCCTTTATAACATGTAGCTAGGGAAGATTCTGTGGCTTTCCTCTTCCTTTGCTGTAAAGAAGGTTTTTAATTTGATGAGGTCAGTTGTTGGCCTTGATTATTAGACAAATGGAGTCCTATTTAGAAAGTCTTACCTATTCCCTCGTCTTGTGGGGTATTGCCTGTGTTTTCTTTTAGCAGTTTCAGTGTCTTGGGTGTCTCTGTTAATTTGTGGTTCATCCCTTTTGGGGCATCTGTCGCTTCTTGTGAGTTTGGGCAAAGGTCTGTGAATCTTGTTTATCTTCCCAAAGAACTAGATTTTAGATTTGTTGATTCTTTGTATCATTTTCTTCATTTCTGTTTCATTAATTTCTGCTCTGACTTGTATTACTTCTTGCCTAGATTTGGGTCTGGTTTGTTCTTTGTTTTTCTCCATTCTTGAGTTGGATCATCATTTATTCATGCTCTTTCTGTGTTTTTGATGTAGGAGCTTAAAATTATAAATTTCCTTCTTAGGACTCCATTTAATGTGTCCTAAAGGCTTTATTGTGTTGTGTTTTCATTTTCCCCTAGTTGCAGAAATTTTACTACTTCTTTTGAGTTCTTCGGCACATTTCATCAGTCAGCAATGCGCTGTTTAGTCTCCATAAGCGAGTGTGATACTAGAAATTTGTTGTTGTGTTTCATTGCACTGTGTGAGGGTATACGCAAAAGTGACTCCAGTTTTTCTGAACTTCTGAAGATTTGTTTTGTCTTAGGATGGGATCTCTTTTAAAGAAGCGCCTATGGACTTCTGAGTGCAATGTATGTTCCTCAGTGTGTGGGGGGGATATTCTGTAGGTAGCTACTAAGCGCATTTGCTGTATGCTGACATTTAATTCTGAAGTTTATTTTTTGTCTATTGAAAAAAATGCAGTCTCGAAATCACCTACAATTGCAGGCAAATGGTGTGAACTAGAAAAGATCATCCTGAGGAGTGAGGTACCCCAGAAGCAGAAAGACACACATGGTATATACTCACTTATAAGTGGATATTAGACATACAATATAGGATAAACATACTAGAATCTGTGCACCTAAAGAAGCTAAGCAAGACAGAGGACCCTAGGTAAGATGCTCAATCCTCATTCAGAAAGGCAAATGGGGGATAGACGTTGGAAGGGGGAGAAAACAGGGAACAGGACAGGAGCCTACCACAGAGGGCCTCTGAAAGACTCTACCCAGCAGGGTATCAAAGCAGATGCTGAGAATTATAGCCAAACTTTGGGCAGAGTGCAGGGATTCTTATGAAAGAAGGGGGAGATAGAAAGACCTGGAGAGGACAGGAACTCCACGAAGAAAGCAACAGAACCAAAAAAATCTGAGCCCAGGTGTCTTTTCTGAGACTGATACTCCAGTCAAGGACCATGCATGGAGATAACCTAAAACCCCTGCACAGATGTAGCCCATGGCAGCTGTCTCCAACTGGGTTCTCTAGCA